TGTATAGAGCCAAAGATGTTAGAATTGTGTCGATGCCCCAATATTTCTGGACCTGACTGTAGATTCACAGATGAAGCTGGAAATATTCTGAAATTGATATGCACAAGCAAACAAATGCTTTTCTACAGTTATATTTAAGTAGGACAGAAAAACCAATTCCTTTATTTTTCTTGCACCTGACAATCATTCTCAAGCACTTCTCTACCTCTACCTTAAAAGGCTACAAATATTTAAGTTTTAGAAGAGCCTAGTTTAATCTCCTCTGAGATTGCAAACTTACATTCCTCTTTGCTCAACGAAGTTACATTCAGTTCTGTCGAAAGTTGCTGGTTGGAGTTAACAGTCTGTGTCAATAGAGAGGTATTACTGTTGTCGCTATTTGTTTCTCCAGAGAACAAATCCGATTGGCTGTTGCTTGTGCTGGGAGTGGACTCATCATCTGGTTGCTTCTTTTGAAAATCTATCAAGACACAAAGTTGAAGAAATGTTACAAGGCCACAAAATATATTATTCAATATATAAAATAAATGTTATATTTAACACAGAAATTACAGATACCTGTAAATGAGTCAAACCCAGTTATAATCTTACTTTCTCTGCAAGATGATATTGTGACTCAACTCAATGACCACTATTCCATTAAAATGTCAATTTATATATTTAACAAGTATTTAAGAAAATAAAAATAAGAGTGTAGTAAGTCATTAATTGTGACTAAAGGTGCTATTTTATTGAAAATTCTAAAGTGGCACTGAAAATTGTTCCACTGCTTTCAAAGAGGCTGAATTGTTCTATTAAGTAGGAATCATCATTTGCACTCTGAAATGACTTTGTTTATCCCCAATTACGGTGTCATTTCAAATTATGGATTTCCTCCTATTTCTTTATACCTTGCAGCACCTTTAGTAAAGGGCTTTAGGAAAGATTTAAAGTGTACTTGTTTTGATTCTAAACAAGTAATTAAATGCATGTGTTTTACGCTCAACTATGATAATATGATTACTGTATATTTCTATGAACTTGTGTTCAATTACTTCATTATGAGTATGCTACCTTCAGAGTTGTGTTTCTGATTAATCGTGTAATAGTATTACACAATAAAAGGAACAAATTCTTTCAGAACGTATCCAGGGGCTTGTTAACTTAGAACATAATATGTATTCAACTTCAACACTATCTTCTGACTGAAACATCCTTGTTTGGAACTTTGGCCAACAATTCATAACTTAAACAGTATTGGATACCTTTATATTCTCAAATATTTCTCTAACTAGAAAAAAAGTTATATGCCAAGTTATATGGGCAGAAACTGATAGGTTCAGTGATTATACAATTAAAATGTTTATACATATCTTCCTCAGCAAAATCTTTATTAGAATTTGACAGGCTTCTAGAAGCCTCAATCAATTTTAAAATTTCAAGTTTAAGAGCATTTTTTTCCCCTTAAGTTTGAAAAGGCTGCCCATTTCCTAATTATTACAAAACCTTCAAATTATTTTTGTTTAAACTTGGAATTAATCAAAAGAAAACCATGGACAATTCTCTGGATACAACTCTCAGAAAGAAAAATCAAAAGGTGAAAATTCACACAGCTTCTTTCTTATCATGACAATTGTCCAATAATTGGCCATGATGCAGAAGAAAGCTGTATGAATTTCAGCAGCAGTTTTAGATCATGTCAATGGTCATTTGCATTGATGGGACTCAAAATACTGTGTAGATTAGGAATATAATAAAGAAATTGCATATACCAGGAAAACAATTTGATTTATACATGTATCATGAACTAATACCTATCTTAAGCACACTGATATATTTTTTTTTAATTCTGCATGGCAGCTGCTAATAACAACATGATTTCTACACATGAACTTTAAATAAATACTACCAGCAGTTGTTTCTATTTTAAGTCAATTCTAAATCCAAAGAATTGGCAATGAATTGTGTAATGATATGTTAATTGATGATTAATTCAAAGCTGATAATGAAATATCCTCTTCAAAAAGTACAGTGGTACCTCGGGTTATGAACTTAATCCGTTCTGTGACTCTGGTCGTATCCCGAGTTGGTCGTAACCCAAAGGAAATTTCCCCATAAGGTTCAATGTAATTACCGTTAATCCATTCTGGCGTCCGCGGACCACACGTCAGGGGCGGGAAAACGGACGGGCGACGCGCAGCGCAGCGGAAAGATGGCCGCAGACCACATGTCAGGGGCGCAAAAATGGCCGCGGACCCTGTGTCAGGGGCGGAAAACTGGCCGCGGGCCACGTGTCACGGCGGGGAACCGGGCGTGCCCCGAGGCGCAGTGCGC